ATTATTATTATTATTATATTAATTATTATTATTATTATTATTATTACATACATACATACATACATGCATACATATGTAGATAAATGGTTCAGAGAACCATTAAAGTATTTTTTGTTATTATAGAACAAAGAACGAAGGAACATGCAGAAGCGGCCTACTGGCCCATGCGAGGCAGGTCCAAGTCTCCTACTGGCCTTAAACCAATGCACCCAACCCCAGTCATGGTCAGGTCACATTGACTTAAGGGAGGAACACGGCAACCGACCTGGTAGCACTAGCTGTCAGGTCAACTCACACACCACCCACATCCACTCATGTATTTATCCAACCTATATTTAAAGCTACTCAAGCGTTTCAGGCCTCTAAAACTGTACGTGGAGTTTTGTTTCCACTCCATCCACAACTCTATTACCAAACCAGGTACTTCCTATATCCTTCCTGAATCGAATTTTTATCCACTTAAAACCATTGCAGGCGAGTCCTGTCTAGGCTAGATATTTTCAGCACACGATTTACATCCCTTTATTTATTCCTCTCTCCATTTATACACCTCAAACAATATCCCCCCTAATTCACGTCTTTCTAGAGATGCAAGAATTCAGGGCCCTTAGTCTATCCTCATTAGGGAAAGGTTTTTTCTGATACAATGGAAATCAATTTTGTCAACCCCTTTGTACATTTTCCAGAGCAATTATATCCATATCTGGAAATATACGGTGACCAAAACTGTGCAGCCATAATCTAAATGAGGCCTAACCAAGGATGTTAGAGTTTGAAGAACAACTGAGGACTCCTATTATTTATGCATCTGATATGACGCCAAAGGATTCTATTAGCTTTATTGTGAACCCTTATGCACTTGTCCTTGGTTTTCAGATACTGCTAACCAAACTCCTAAAAACTTTTTCGCAATCCGTAATAATAATATCTACATTATTTACTTTATATGTGGCATGGTTATTGTCCTGTCCAACATTTAGAACTTTGCATTTGTCTATATTAAACTGCATCTGCCACGTCTCCGAACCACTGCCAACAGTCTATTCAAATCTTCCTGGAGTGCACTAATGTCCTCGTCAGAAAGAAATCGACGGCCTATTTTGGTACATCGGCAAACACTTATTTTTGCTGATGTCGCTCTTTATGCCACTCATCTATGTCGTTTATGTAGATTGTGAACAGCAGGGGCTCAACACTGACCCCTGTGGAACACCGCTCGTGACGCTTCCCCACTCTGATTTCTTCCCATTTATGCAAACTCTCAACCATGTCTCTATCCAGGAAAAATTTCTCCTCCTATTCCATGTGCCTTAATTTTCCTCAATAGTCTCTGATGTGGGACCCTGTCAAAAGTCTTACTGAAGTCCATATACACAATATCATATTCATTACCATGATCTACCTCCTCAAATACCTTAGTGAAAAAAGTTAATAAATTCGTAAGGCAGGAACGCCCCTTTGTAAAACCATGCTGAGATTCGTTGATTAATTTATGCTTTTCAAGGTGGCTACAAGCTGCCTCGGCAATCAAACCATACCCCGGCCGGGATTGAACCCGCGGTCATAGAGTCTCAAAACTCCAGCCCGTCGCGGGTTCAGCCCGACCGCGGGTTCAATCCCGGCCGGGGTATGGTTTGTTTGCAATCGTGTCATTACGATTTCGTGAGTCATGCCTCGGCAATTATTGACTCCATAAATTTTCCCACTATGGAGGTTAGGCTTATTGGTCTATAGTTCGAAGCTAAGGACCTGTCACCTGCTTTGAAAATAGGTATCACATTTGCTATTTTCCACTTATCTGGCACCATGCCAGTTTGTAGTGATATGTTGAAAAGATTAGCCAAAGGTTTGCTAAGCTCCTGTTTACATTCCTTTAGAACCCTTGCATACAGTTCATCAGGACCTGGGGATTTGTTAGGTTTTAATTTATCTATTTGCCTAAGGACCATGCCACTTGTGACCCTAATCGTGCACAGTTCATTATCGTCCTGTTCTACATAATTTATCATTACTGGAATATCGCTGGTATCCTCCTGTGTAAAAACTGAGAGGAAGTATGTGTTTAAAAAATTTTACACATTTCCTTATCACTGTCAGTGAGCTGACCCAGGAACTTTTGAGTGGGCCAAACTTGTCCCTGATCTTACTTCTGTATACCTGAAAAGAATCCTTTTGGGTTAGTCTTCGATTCTCTTGCAACTTTAACCTCATAATCTCTTTTTGCTTTTCTAATTCCCTTTTTTATTTCTCTCTTTAACGAATATAATTGATTTCTTAATTGCCCCCCCTCCTCTTTTGATTTCCTATATATGTCTCTCTTTTGACCAATCAGATATTTTAATCTATTGTTCATCCATTTAGCTCATTTTTGTTTGTCTGATTTCCCTATTTGGAACATAATTTGACTGAGCAGCTAAACTATGCCCTGGAAAGCGTCATATCGGCAACCATCACCACCTACCTGACCCTTAGTCAGGTCATTCTAGTTTTTGCCCACCTAAGTAATTTTTCAGTCCTATGAAATCAGCCCAAACGAAAGTCAGGGACGGAGACTTGATTGCCATTATTAGGGGAAATCCATGACATATTAAAAAATGAGTGATTTGTGATCACTTTCCCCCAAACTCATCATTAACCTCAAGATTATTAATTAGTGTTTCCCTACTGGCAAGAAAACCCAAGTCAAGGAGTTATTTCTCCTAGTTGACTCTGTCACAAACTGTTTTAGAAAACAATCCTGGATCGTATCAAGAAAGTCACCTGACTCTAAATTTCCTGTCAAATTGCTCCAGTCAATCTGTCTATAGTTGAAATCTCCCATTAGCACAACATTTTCGTATGTAGATGCCTTACGAATTTCGTCCCATAGAAGTTTACTGCACTCCCTATCAAGATTTGGGGCCCTGTAAATCACACCCAAAATTAGTTTTTCTCGGCCCTCGAGAAGCTGTAACCAAACAGATTCAGTGGCCGACGCTTCTAATTTTATATCTTGTCTAACACAACAATTTAATTTGTCTCATGTATTTATCCAACCTATTTTTAAAGCTACACAACGTTCTGGCCTCTATAACTGTACTTGGGAGTTTGTTCCACTCATCCACAACTCTATTACCAAACCAGTACTTTCCTATATCCTTCCTAAATCTGAAATTTTCCAACTTAAAACCATTGCTGCGAGTCCTGTCTAGGCTAGATATTTTCAGCACACTATTTACATCCCCTTTATTTATTCCTGTCTTCCATTTATACACCTCAATCATATCCCCCCTAATTCTACGTCTTTCTAGAGAGTGCAGATTCAGGGCCCTTAGTCTATCTTCATAGGGAAAGTTTCTGATACATGGGATCAACTTTGTCATCCTCCTTTGTACATTTTCCAGAGCATTTATATCCATTCTGTAATACGGTGACCAAAACTGTGCAGCATAATCTAAATGAGGCCTAACCAAGGATGTATAGAGTTGAAGAACAACCTGAGGACTCCTATTATTTATGCTTCTTGATATGAAGCCAAGTATTCTATTAGCTTTATTGCGAACACTTATGCACTGTTGTCTTGGTTTCAGGTTACTGCTAACCAGGACTCCTAAATCTTTTTCGCAATCCGTAATATTAAGATCTACATTATTTAGTTTATATGTGGCATGGTTATTGTCCTGTCCAACATTTAGAACTTATATTATTTATGCACAAATATACATATGTACATACACATACACACATACATACATATATACATACATACTTATGTAGATAAATGATTCAGAAAACCTCCAGTCTGAGGGACTGATTACCTCAGTCTCCTTCTGATCTTCATTGTTCTTCTTTCTATAGGACTGATGAAGTCACTGCGTGGCGAAACGTTTCCACAATAAAGATACCAAGTGTTGTACATGTGTCTAATTTATCTTGCAAACATGAAGGTGCACATGCGTACACACATATGTTTCGTTGCATTAAAATTTTATGACTGGCCTGCATTATTCCTTTTGTGTGCACTGATGCGATAATAATAATAATAATATAATAATAATAATAATAATAATAATAATAATAATAATAATAATAATAATAATAATAATAATAATAATAATAATAACAACAACAACAACAACAACAACAACAACAACAACAACAACAACAACAACAATAATAACAATAATAACAACAACAACAACAACAACAACAACAACAACAACAACAACAACAACAACAACAACAACAACAACAACAACAACAACAACAACAACAACAACAATAATAATAATAATAATACATTCCTAAAAAACGCGTGTTAAACTAGAATGAGTCAGTAAAGTGTACTGTTAGGAGCAGTGTACAATGATAGGGGACTTGGGAGGTGGATTAGTGAGGTTGAAGTTAGTGAGGGTGTAAGATCGAAATCAAAACTGATGTAGTAAGTCAGTTTCTGTCAAAAAAAGAAAGGTCAGTGAGTAAGTCTATGTTAAAAAGATGGGACTTTCAATGAGGAGGGCAGTTAGAGTGTGTTTGGGTGTTGTAGAGTTCAAAAGTAAATTCTGCATACTCTGAGATAAATAGGACAGATGATTAATATATATGCATTGAGGTAGAAGGGGCTGGGCTTATGGAATACAGGGATACCATACTCGAATTGTCTGAAACACATCTGATATTAAATTATTAATGCATCCACGAACAGTTTGTATCATTGATGGCTCAGTGTTTACAGCGTGGTGGATTTTGACTGACTTCCCACAAGACGGGCTAAAATAACGTGGGTTTGATCCCCGGCTAGTCACAGTATTGTTAACATCTGGTATATATTATTATAATTATTATATTTGTTATATTTATGGGGAAGCACTAAACTAGTAGGGGTCATGTAGCACCAGGGAAGTAGGGAATGGAAGGTCATCAGATATAATCCAAGGAACTGGAGGGTAGTTCTAATTCCCCTGGATCAAGAACCCTTCATCAGCGACTTAGTTACATAATTTTGATTTATTGTTTTGCAGTTGTCTGTAGTCCTCTGCGTCCCCGTTGCCATAGTGACAGCAACACAAACACACCCACAGAGTTGGTGTACTCGTACTGTGAGCTCAGGTCAGAGTGAATGTGAATCTGAATGCGATCAAGCTAGAGTGAATGTAAACGAAAGTGAACTAAGCCAGGGTGAGCACAGATCTAAGCGAGCTCAGGCCAGAGTGAACATGAATGTAAGTTCAAGCCAGAATGAACGTAATCAAAGTGAGAAAACATCAGTTTGAGTACACACACAGTCAGGTGACCACATACATCATAGACTGATACCTGATGGAACACTGACTCAAGATGACCCAACGGCCCAGCTCAGGTAGGAACTACACTAAGTATTCAACCTAATTCACGAATAATATATATATATATATATATTATATATATATATATATATATATATATATATATATATATATATATATATATATATATATATATATATATATACACTGAGATATATGCACTGAGAGATGAAGCATCTCACTGTATACATACTAAGAGTTTAGGTGTGAAAGTATTTTAGACTGGTGGTGAACAGGTGACACGCATCCTTAATGACCCTCATGTAATGTCATTACAAGAATAACCACCCAACACTGAGATACTTTACGGGCCTACATACTAATATGTGATGAAATTAAGACACATGTGCAACATCTGGGTATCTTTATTGTATACGTTTCGCCATCCAGTGGCTTTATCAATACAAATTCCAGGACATAACTTGAAGACAGTAGGACTATATACAGAAGATGAGGTAATCAGTCCCTCAACCTAGGAGTAGGTGTGAAGAGCACCATAGTCGTGGAGATTCTGAAGCAGATCAGATCAGATCAGATCAGGACTCACAGGTAAGGACCCACGAGGGGCGAGGGGCAAGTGGGGACAGTGCGAAGAATAGATGGTGAGAGGAATGTCTTGAGTCGAAGAGAGAAGAGTCAGGACTAGACCCAACTGCTAAACCTGGATAAACAATGACAAAGACGACATAGAAGACAGCAGGAACTCTGCAGGTGCTGACTGCAACTTGCTGGATGGAAGATTGCTGCATCTTGATGTTGATTGGAGGCTGGCAGAAACTGGAGGCGTGGTCAAGGGAGGCTAGCTTCTTGATTGGTCAGGTGTCGTTAAAGTGTGAGTCAGGAGTTACATCATTTCTTCAGTGTTGGAGCCATTCCTTATGTTGTGCAGTTGTTGGGAGGAAACGATGAGTAGTCTTGTAATCTTGGGTCGAAATGCTGGGTCGGCTTGTAACTGGTCAAAGGTCATCTTGAGTGCTGTGAAGGAACAGTGGGTTCCTTTACGATTTGTAAACTTGACTGTTCTGTTGTGTAATTTCTCGTACAAAGTGTCGACATTCATGGTGGGTTCTTGGTCACGAGTCGTATAAAAAGTTATATCTTTCCAGTGTAGGTATTGATCTCGGTGTCGGTCTTCTGTATTAATACGTCGAGTGATGCCTGGTGAGGTTTTGGTTGGTGGTTGCAGCATTGAAGGTTCATTCAGTGTTGGTGTCTCTGCTACAGAGTGTGTAGAAGACTGTGGTGGAATCGTGGCTTCTGATTGGCAGAAGCAAGGAGCCTGGCGCTTATATACTAACGTCAGGTCAGGTGTAGCAGATGAGGGCATAGTCGACGGCTGGTGTCCCACAAGGTTCTTGTCTCAGTCCACTTCTGTTTAACATTTATGTGAATGACCTTCCTCAACCAGAGTTTAATGACACAATTGTGACACAGTTTGCAGATGATGTTATTCATGTCGTCTCATCAACTCCAGTAACAGGAAAATACAAGTATGAGAGGGTCATAGAAAAAATGAATATTGAACTTCGTCGAACATCTAATTGGGAGAAGAAATGGAGAATTACGACTAATCCTGACAAGGTCCTTGTTAGCACGATAGGATGTTTTGCATCAACCATTGAAGATAAAGGGGGTATCTTCATCAGAGGTACACCTGTAGCCATTAGAAACCCTAACAAGATCTTGGGATATGAAATAGACAGGCTGCTCCACTCAACATCTCATGTAACTAAAAAGATCAACACAGCCAAAGCCGGTCTTAGCAGACTCTTTCGATTCAATCAAGCCCCTCAACATGTCAAAAAACATCTGTATAAAATGATAATAAGACCTATACTCGAATACCCTTGTGTCCCAATGTCATTAACAACAAAGACCAACATGCTACGGTTACAAAGGGTCCAGAATAGAGCTCTTCGCTTTATTACTGATACCAGGAGGAGAGACAGAGTTAAAATGGCAGATTTACACACACAACAAGATATTACTGCCATAAATGTACGCCTTGACACCCTAAAAAAGAAACAACTTTATACAATGCAAGAACTATACATGCCAGATAGAGAACATCCTATACAAGTGATAAATACCACCGATTACACCATCAATACTCCGCCTCACAGGACTCAAAGAATGACTCTCCCACAGAGGGTTCGTCGTTTTATTCATAAAGATGATTACCCTCGACCCACGATTTTGAGCAACTTACCTGATGAAGAAGATTGGATACCACCAGAACCCTTCTATGTAAACTGAAAATCATCGCCCCCAATTAGGGAGACATCTTAAATAACTTTCTAATGTAAAATTATGCTATTGACTATTGTTGGACACCACCATTAAGAAGCTATTGTCACGGGCTCATAAACTGGCCAGAAAATATTGCCTTTCTTGTCGTATAAATATCTGTTGTGCAATCGCGAAAAAAAAAAAAAAAAAAAAAAAAAAAAAAAAAAAAGCAATTGCAACTTGTATAACTACAACCAATTCAGAGTCATGTACTTATATACCTATTATATTTATGTGACTCTGATGGGTTAGTATTATACCCCTTAAAGAATATCTTATCAATTCAAATACACTTTTTAAATTACACCAAAGTGGTTGGGCCACTTACCTTTTATATCCTACCTCTCCCCCCTTCCAACCCTTTTCCAATATTTCCATCCTTACCCATCCTTCTTCCTTCCCCATCTTACCAAAAAGCTCTGGTCATTAGAACTCGAACACTATCTCGCGGGTATTTTTATGTACAGTACAGACTATATACACTGTGGGGTGAATATCTCTGCGTATATACTACATTTTACTTGAACATCCACTCTGTTTTAGGATTTAAAGTATTCACGATTTTATTATATCAGTGAATGGCGACCTTGACGACCCACGTAAAACTGATAGACTAACTTATATACGTTTTCCTTCTGTAGGAGCGTCGGAAGTGGGGAGTGGTGGAGGTGGGTCTCCAACAAGCCTGATACTCCCTCAGCTACCCTCCCAGGCTGGCTCCTCCACTTCCACCAGAACCTCCCCTTCAAGGACCTCCGCCCATGGGTAATTTTATTCTTAAATTTGCTTTAGCTTTATCTCATGATGGATGCGTTGTGCTTACGTTAAGTGATACACACCTCAGCGAAGGCATTAGTTAGCGCAGTCAATCTCATCTGTTGGAAAACAATAATTACTCTTTAGTAACAAATTTTATAGGTATGTATAATCAGATGCTTTGTCATAGTCAGCTATTTCTGTATTACATTCAAGTGGTGTACTACAGCAATAAAAAAAAGGACATTTTCAAAATAAGTATTTATTGTGCAGAGTTTTCAACAGCAAAACGTTCCAATGGAAGCTTGTCCTGCAACTGCATCTTGTCTTCACTAGTTTTGTACTCGAGGTAACACCAAATATAAACAAGCCGTATTCTAGGTCTCCTTGATTTAAATCAGTGGTTCCTAAACCTTTTCAGGCTGCACCCCCCCCCTTGGCTCCCAGGCCACATCCCTAGCCCCCCACACATGAACACATCTCTTTCTTAGTTTACTGGAAATTCAAAACAACAACTAATCTAATACTATAAACAAGCGTATTTATTTCACAAATAAAAATTAACATAGTAAACCAGTTTATTTAACAGTATGAAGGGTAAATTTACATCTCATCAGTAACTACATTGCTTCATAAATGTAATAAGATGGATTTGCTTGGTGCATGGACATCAGCTTCTAATTATTATAATCAAAAAGAAGCGCTAAACCACAAGGGCTATACAGCCATCAGCTTCTAAACATCAGGCTTGAAGGCACTAAGAAGTCTTAGATCCCCGCCTTCAGTAATTTTCAGTCTGTTTCTTTGCACCCCTCAAGGAAGGTTCCTTGATGTTGGTGAGGGGCTCTTGATTTAGGGAATTGGATCTGTGCTCCAGTTCCCCGAATTAAGCCTGAATGCCTTCCACATCCCCCCCCCCCAGGCGCTGTATAATCCTCCGGGTTTAGCGCTTCCCCCTTGATTATAATAATAATAATGTTTCTTTGCTGCGAAAGAAGCTTAGCAACTACACTGAAGCCTCGCTCAACTAAATATGATGTTGGTAAGGCAGTAAAATACATATTAACTGTTCCACAGTGCCGGGTAGTGGTCAGAAATGTATTTTGTAACCAAAAAATCTTGATATGATTTTTTGAGCTTTGGCCTCAGCTCAATGTCATTTTAGAATGAAATCAGTTCTTCTTCCACCATTCCTGTTTCCTCATTGCTGATATTTAGGAATGGATTGATCACTCAGTCTGGTGTTTTCAGTATAAAAAAGGATCCTGAAATCAGTCAGACATATCTATGCAGCTCATTCAGGTGTGCAAGGTACACTTGAAGGTCATCGTCTGCTATGTTCTTCTCCAATTCAGAGAGGCTCGGAAACAGGAAGAGCTCACGACGGGCTACGTTACACTTGAATAACTATAACCTGGACGGAAAAGTGGAAAGGGCTGATTTGACTTTGAAAAGATTAACCTCATTTCTTCATTGAAGTTCCGTGTATAATTCTATGTTAATTTTATTCTTTGTATAGCATTTATATTACTTAAGTGTTCGTGACTTAGATTTTGTCATAGATTTTGAAAAACAAACAAACGCTCCCTTGGTTCTGATGCCACCCTGCCGCCCCGCTTTTTCTTCAACGCCAGCCTGGATCTTTCCGCCGCCCCCGGGTGGGGAGGGGGGGAAAGGGGTTCCGGCCACTTTGGGAATCACTGGTACAAATGAAGGCACTCTTCAAGGTTAAACGAATGCGATTGCCTCGGTTTTAACTATCTCATCTTCTCAGTTATCTTATGTCTCCTGTTTCTGTCTAATCCCTCCCCTTCTCTGTCCTTCCCCACAGGACGTCTTCTCTGGGCAGGAGAAGGATCTCCACATCATCGTCAGTAGCGTCAGGAACCTCCCTGGCCTCCCTGTTGGTGAAGTTGCACCAGCCACCGTCCTCCAGTCTCTCCCTCGAGGGCAAGCTCAAGATCAGGGCCACAGTGTCAGTTAATTACTATTATTATTATTGGGAAATAGACGTAGAATCGCAGTGGCGAGACGTATGGGCGTAAAGTAACAATATGTCTCTTAATGTAAGTCAACGGGATGTAGCCTTATTAAAAGCGCCTCAGGAACGAGACGTAATCAGGTTTGATCCAAGGAAGGGAAACATGGTTGTAACTTCAACATCTCATATTAGATGAATGCGATGTCTGACGAAATGTCATACCAGATATAAAAATGATATTTAAAATACTCAACCTCGATTCTGCAGCTACATTTACCACCCCAGGAAGGATGCTTTGAGGCTAGACAAGGCCCTTGATCCAATGAATTGGAGCTGCCCTCTTTTTCTGCCGGATCGGATCTGATTACTTCCTGTTCCCCAGGCGCCGTATGATCCGTGCGGGTTTGGCGCTCTTCCGGAATATCGACTTCATGATCCACTTTGAACCTTGGCCTTTTTGCCTCCTCATCCTCCAGGGACTGTGGGAGTGACGTTATCTTTTGCAAGTTCTCTCCTGATGGTGGCCTGGTGGGCACCGCCCTCAGGTCAGGTCAAGTCAAATTCTTCACTCAGGCCGGGATGCTCTCCCATACCCTGCAGGTAAAGTCAAGCCAACACAAGTTCCTTACTTGATCTTGACACACAATAGGGATAAAAGTAAACGTTGAGCACATACAGTATATACTGGACTGAAAGTCGCACCTCTCTGTGCTTAAGGTCTTTAGATTGGCAACAAGGATTTGGTAGGAGAGAGCATCAAAAAGGATTGAGGTATATGAGAAGAGATAGATAAGTAGTGTAGTCACTGAGCAGTTCCCGGCGAACAAACCTTGGTCATAATATACTAAAACTTTTATTATTAACATACTCGTCTTTTTTGGTGTGACCGTCTTACAACTGTTATTATTAACATAATCATCTGTCTTTTTTTATGTGATCATCTCCTGGTGTCTGGTGACAGTTACCTGGTGAGACAGCCGCTCAGTTACCAACTCCAGCCACATCCCTACTCTGGCTATCAGGAGGACAACCTGACTCCATCCTCACAACCTGTGAGTACCAAGGCTCTTCACAGACATATGCAGAATAAACCACAGCGAAACGTTGTCAGGATAAAATTTATTCTTCAGTTTGAGTCTTGGTCTGTATATGTCGACAATACGTCATTTCATCTACGATTATTATTATGGTCATGTTCGGGGAAACGTTAAACACACAGGGGGTCATAAAGCGACACCTATCAGCCATACCATTAAGCTATGTAAGGCAAAATGTTGTTTTGTTTTCCCTATATGAGTTTAAGCCGAATTCTCTGCATACATTATCTTATATTAGGTTAAGTTAACGTAAATTAACTAAGTTTTACCCACTATATCATAACAAAATGCAATAAATATAAAATAAAATAAAACAATAACGTGGAAAATTTTGAATTTTCGTAAATTCAGCATGTGTAAATTTGAATAATATAATAATTGTGTATTAAAATGCGATGCTGATTTGACCCTTCGAGAAGTTTCGAGTGAGGGGGGATGTGGAACAGCCACAAGGCGGACGGGGAGGAAGCCATGGTGAAACTAAATGTGTGAACACTGGTCTATTAATTGTGCAATGTAATCAGGCGTCATCGAAGTTCATTTGGTGTATATCGAACTCAATCCGTAACTTAAAAATAGCTGACACGTTTTCACTGAAGAATTGGGATAAATTAGTGTGGAAACCCTTACAATTCGGCTACAAGGACGGAAAAATAAGGGTCTCTGATTCTTCCCGGCAATACACCTTAGCTAACTGATGCTTACCCATAATGTATAGTAGTTTTTGCATTGACCATCGTAAACTCTAGCTATTAGGGTAGCATTAGGGCGTGTTACAAATAAAAATTGTGATCCAGTAATTATATGGTAAGTGGTAACACGAATTTCTTCTCATAACACCATTGTATTCTATGTACTGTGCTTATAGCTATATTTTGTGTACCCAACAAGTAAACCAAAATATACAGTTCACACAATTTTAATTTACCAGAGTAGCTGGTTATAATATTGTAATTATTAATTTAATGTTTGGTCTTGCTTTTTGTGAGAGTGATAATGGAGTGGGCATCGAGGGAGTGACAGTTCTGCGACATACTATAAGTCCCACTTACCTCGCCCAGATTACTTGCACGTAATAATTCAGGTAATACCCTGTAAACCTTATGCAGGTAATTTCTCATGGTACTCATCAGATGTGAGTATAAGCACAAATATGTCCTCACCAACTGTGAGTACAAGTGGATATTGTATATGTACTAACTAGATGCAAGTACAAGTGCATATAAGTAGTAGTCGCCAACTGCGAGTACAACTGCATACTCTAAATACCCACCAGATGTGGGTACAAGTACATGTACATGTATGTATTTCTTCTCCTATGCCAAATCAAAGTCGAGAACAACGTCCAGTATTGGGCCCTTACTTAAACAAGATGGGTCCTACACAGATGACAGCAAGGAAATGGGTGAGTACTCAAGCCCCAATATACTCATTTTTAGCAAGCCATAACCAACTGAGGTCGAAGACAAAATGAATTTTTTATGGAGAGCCACAAATTTGGTTAACACAACTATCTGATGAAACCTGCGCAAATACTTCGAACAGGCGATAAATACATCCCATGCACTTGCCCCGGGGGCCAGCCAGGAACTCCGGTGTTCATAAAAAAACGAAGAACCCCCTTCAAGCCTTTACCACCCTTTGGGAGGGGGAGCATGGACACGGGGGTCGCCCCCACAGTTACTAAAAACAACAACATAACCCCACTCCAAAAAGGGGGCCAGTAAAGAACAGAAAAGAACTACGCCGATGCATAACATCCCATACCCTAAAAATCTTAAAAGAGTCCTAAGAAAGCAAGATCACCCCCCTTTTAAAAAACCCTCAGTTAACAACCCAGGGCAACATGGTTAGAACGGTCGCCCTTCTGTCTCAACTTTTGGGATCACTACGACAAGGTCCTAGATGCACTAAAGAAAAAAATGGGATGTAAAAATTACAGACTTTCAAAGCCTTCGAAAAAGGTGACCAGGGCGAAATAGCGCAAAAAAAAGCGGCAAAAGGAAAACGGGAAAAAAGCGGTCGATGGATCAAAATTTTCCCACAACAAAACACGAAGTAGTAGTCAAAGAGTAAAAAGGCAGGGGGGAAAAGCTCTGTTCCACAAGGCCCCCCCCCCCCCCATTTTTTTACCCCAAAATGACAAGACGGGTCCCCAAGCACCGGCTCTCGAGGCCCCAATCGAAAAGGCTTTCCCGGGGGCACCCAAAGGGGGGCATAACCAAAACTTTAGTGGGGGAAAAAAATTTTTAAAACAAATGAAAAAAAAAAAAAAAACAAAAAAAAAAACCAAAACAAAAAATTTGGCCAAAAAAAAAAGGAAAAAAACCCAAATAAAAAATAAATAGGGAATTCCCCCCAAGGGCCCAAAAAAAAAAAACGGAAAAAAAGAAAGGGAAAAGAGAACCCAAAAAAAAGGGACCAACCCTATAAAAAAAAAGGGACGTTCAATAAAAAAGCGAACAAACAACCTTTCAACGGGAAACCAAAAAGAAAAAAAAAGAATTTAGGGGAAAAAAAAAAAAAACAACCCAAAAACGAATTTTAAAAATTCCCAAGACAAAAAAAATAAAAAGAAAACCCAAAAGGGAACCCAAGCAACAAAACCCAAAAAAAAAACAAAAACCAACATCAACCCCCCCCCCATAAAAAAACAAAAAAAACCAAAAAACGGGGGAGACGTTAAAAACCCCCCCCAAAAAAAAAGGGGGGAAACCAAAACCAAAACCCCGGGATCCAAAAAGGGGGGAAAAAAACGGTTTACACCCTTTTGGGGGGTTTTTAAAAAAAAGAAAAAACAAAACCAAAAAAAAAAAAAAAGGCCCCCCAAAACAAGACCCCCACCCCCCAAAAAAACAAAAAGGAGTCACCACAGAACGGTCTCTCTTTGCAGTGAAAACCCAATCGCATACGGGCTCCATTCAGACACTGCAAGCTCCGCGGACATCAACCAAATCTTTCAGTGGCATGCAGAAAAACAATATGAAGTTCAACGATGAGAAATTTCAATTACTCAGATATGGTAAACACGAGGAAATTAAATCTTCATCAGAGTACAAAACAAATTCTGGCCACAAAAATAGAGCGAAACACCAACGTCAAAGACCTGGGAGTGATCATGTCGGAGGATCTCACCTTCAAGGACCATAACATTGTATCGATCGCATCTGCTAGAAAAATGACAGGATGGATAATGAGAACCTTCAAAAACGAGGGATGCCAACCCATGATGACACTCTTCAGGTCACTTGTTCTATCTAGCTGGAATATTGCTGCACACTAACAGCACCTTTCAAGGCAGGTGAAATTGCTGACTTAGAAAATGTACAGAGAACCTTCACGGCGCGCATAACGGAGATAAAACACCTCAATTACTGGAGCGCTGAGGTTCCGAACCTGTATTCCCTGGAACGCAGGCGGGAGAGATACATGATTATATACACCTGGAAAATCCTAGAGGGACTAGTTCCGAACTTGCACACGAAAATCACTCACTACGAAAGCAAAAGACTTGGCAGACGATGCAACATCCCCCAGTGAAAAGCAGGGTGTCACTAGCACGTTAAGAGACCATACAATAAGTGTCAGGGGCCCGAGACTGTTCAACTGCCTCCCAGCATACATAAGGGGGATTACCAACAGACCCCTGGCAGTCTTCAAGCTGGCACTGGACAAGCACCTAAAGTCGGTTCCTGATCAGCCGGGCTGTGGCTCGTACGTTGGTTTGCGTGCAGCCAGCAGTAACAGCCTGGTTGATCAGGCTCTGATCCACCAGGAGGCCTGGTCACAGACCGGGCCGCGGGGGCGTTGACCCCCGGAACTCTCTTCAGGTAAACTCCAGGTATGCACTAGCCAGTTATTAGTAAAAGTGTGATAAATGGTTTTAAAAACCGATAAGTTGAAGATTGAGACACTTATGCAACATATGGGAATCTTTATTGAGGAAACGTTTCGCCACACAGTGGCTTCATCAGTCCAATACAAAGTAGAAAGGTGTGTAAGGAGAGGAGGAGTTTGAGGTAATCAGCCCCTCAACCTGGAGTCGATGTGTTCAATCCATCAATCTTGTAGAATGTACAGCATAGAGACGTAGACGTGGCTTATATACTGTAGTCAGGTGAGGCGAAGCAGGAGGAGGCGGGGTCATAGTGGAACCTTCCACTAGTCTCAGTAGGTCTTCGTCCATAGGTTGGACAAGTGCTGAAGAATTCTTTGTATCAAGATCTTGATACAAAGAATTCTTCATCTGAATTACCTCAAACTCCTCCTCTTCTTGCACCATTTTGCTTTGTATTGGACTGATGAAGCCACTGTGTGGCGAAACGTTTTCTCAATAAAGATTCCCATATGTTGCATAAGTGTCTCAATCTTCATTAGTGCAAGTGTTTATATGCACTCACCAGCTGTAGTGCAAGTGCTTGTATGTACTCACCAACTTTATATCTTGTTGGTAAGGCCTCATTTAGATTAAGCCGCACAGTTCTGGTCACCGTATTACAGAATGGATATAAATGCGCTGGATAACGTACAAAGAAGGATGACAAAGTTGATCCCATGTATCAGAAATCTTTCCTACAAGGATAGACTGAGGGCCCTGAATCTGCACTCTACAAAGGCGTAGAATTTGGGGGGATATGATTGAGGTGTATAAATGGAAAACAGGAATAAATAAATGGTATGTAAATAACGTGCTAAAAATATTCAACCAAGACAGGACTCCCAGCAACGGGTTCAAGTTAGAAAAAATAGATTTTAAAAGGATATAGGAAAGCATTGGTATAGTAATAGAGTTGTGGATGAGTGGAACAAACTCCCGAGTAACGTCACTAAAGCTAAAACGTTATGTAGTTTTAAAAATGGGTTAGACAAATACATGAGTGGGTGTGAGTTGGATCTGACTGGCTTGGGGAAGTGGGTCTGATGTATTGCTTCTTCCTTCTTAAGTAGATATGACTTGGGCCTGACTGGCTTGGGCCAGTAGGCATGCTGCAGTGCTCCTTTCTTATGTTCTTATGTACTCACCAGCTGTTAGTACAAATGCTTTGACGTACTCACCTTGGTGAGTTACTAATCTTAGGTGTGTCATTAAGGCTGCATCTTATCCGTAAATTGACATCAAGAATTTCTGAATTACTAAAATATGAATTATATAGTGTATATATACACAGATATATGCATGTGTATATACATATACCCACTTCTGTGCATATATATGTAAGCATTTCTTGATGTACAAAGATGCAAATTTCTTGGTCTACAAACATTTTTTAGTAAATATGGTGAAGAGAAACGTAGTTAATATTATATTCATGAGACGCACAAACCCGTATGGGTCATACAGTGCTTTGAAAACAGAAGGCACCAATGCTCGATCCATGAAAGGGGAGGGTAACTCCTATTCCTTGGATCAAGAATCTTCCATCAAGGCTCTTCCTCTTGAAAGGCATTTCTCTCTCTAATTTTTGCAAGACTCAGACGGGCGTGTGGTGTCGTGGCGTGGGCGGAGTGTGGGCGTGGTGCAGAGCGAGGGCGGGATAGACGTGCGGGCGGCGGTGGTGGTGGGCGGGCTGGACAACCAGGTGGTGACCTTCACCAGAGGTCAGGTCACAGTACGGGACGTGAACACCCTCAACACAGTGTGCAACATGGATCAAGGGTCAGTAAGTGCTCTTCTTACTCTCGTTATTCACCAACACAGATAACATGCGTCATATAATTTATTTCAGTATTGTATTATAAAATGCAAGAGTATGCGACCAAACAATGTCACATATCTTAATATAAATATATACAGCACAATGACTTACATCTCAATATAAGTATATGCAACACAAGCTATACTGCTACATATTGCAAAAAAACACAGCACTGCAATGCATAATAACTTATGCAAAAAATACAAAACAAGTCTGCTTCATAACAATTTAAAACAGGGGTGGTAATATACCTTAAATAGGGCTGGGCTTTGAAATGAGGTACGATAACAACTGTAAAATTAATTTGTGTAAAAAAAAATAATGTCCCTCTTTTATTTCAAAATTTAATTCACTCCTTAAGATCTATGAGTTTCTCTTATTATTTTCAGGGTGGGAGGTCATCTGATAGCCCGAGGATCAGTGTGGGCGGTGAGTGGGCGAGGGCGTGAGCTTGTGGGTGGGGGTGGAGGCGGCTTGACTTGGTGGGATGCTCGCACGGGCGGTGTCACACGCAGTGTGGGCGGTGTGCAGGTGCGCGGGCCCGCTCTAGCATGGCACCCTCATGCTAACAGGGTGAGAGTTAACGAGTCTGAATGTTCCATGGCCACGGATATTGGATAAAATAAGATGAAAATTAAGAAACAATTATAAAAAAAAGTAGTTGAGGTTGAAGTTATGTCCAGAGTTTTGTCACTTACTAAAATGATTTTAGTCTACGTTCACTTTAACCTCCGAGGTCTTATTTACTCATTTTCTGTTTTAAATTTACCCATTTTCTTTGTCACCTCAAGAAAGAAGTCCAGCTGTACTAGCGACAGTATGAAAATATGCTTCGTGGTGTAGGTGCCTTTATTGTACAATGATAACTTAGTAGTCGAGGTTGTGTGTTGCAGGTGGTAAGTGGGAGCTGGGGTGGTGGAACTGACAGTGTCAAGGTGTGGGAGGCATCCACAGGCAGACTCACCCACCTACTCTACTCTGACTCGGTCAACACTTCTGTGAGTATATCTATCTTTCTTTCTCTTTCTTTCCTACCTCTCTCCTTACATGTTATTACTTTATCTGTGGTATTATTATTATTTGTTTTTGTTGTCATTTCTTTTTAATAGTAATATTAATGTCTGATAATTAGTAGTGTCAGAATTAATGTAGATTCCGTTTCTCCTTAAAACAGAGTTCATGTAGGTGAGTTATGTAGGTATTGAAACTCAGAGGAAAAGGCAATCAGAAGCGAGGGAGACTAGCAGGTGTGGTAGCTCTAGGGAGGCTAGCAGGTGTGGGAGCTCTAGGGAGACTAGCAGGTGTGGGAGCTCTAGGGAGACTAGTAGGTGTGGGAGCTCTAGGGAGACTAGCAGGTGTGAGAGCTCTAGGGAGACTAGCAGGTGTGGGAGCTCTAGGGAGACTAGCAGGTGTGGGAGCTCTAGGGAGACTAACAGGTGTGAGTTCTCCGTGACAGGTGTACAGCACGACGTGGGCTGGCAAGGAGGTCGTAGCAGTGGGAGGCGCACACCCAAACCTACTCAGACTTGCAACTCTGGATAATACGGTAAGGTGGGAAGAGAGGAGGTTAGGGGGAGAGAAGAATGGAGTGAGGAAGGGAATGGACTGGAGGGGGTAGAGAAGGTAGTAGGTGGAGGGAGAGTTTGAGGTGGTCAGTGGTATTCCGCGTTGAGTCTCTTGAGTAGAGAGAGGTGAGAAAAGAGGGAGAATTGGATTAAAAAAATTAGTGCAGAAAGAGGAAAGTGAATAATGGACTCATGTGTCACATCAATGAAATCAGAGGCTCCGTTAGATACATTGTCTATATCCCAAAGTATCCCCATTAATTTAATTCAACCAACAATAGAAATAAGCCACACTTTGGGTTTTCTGGGCTATCCATCCTGAAATTTACTTAATGTGCCACTGTTGTATGTCTGAAACATCTGTGCACCCTCAGGTTGGTTAATGGGGTTTAAAGCCTATATACTACACAAGGGTCATTAAGGTTGCATATCAAATGTTCACCATTTATGAAGAATAATTTAATGTTATATATAGGCCTATTAGGATTACACTCCACGTGTGACTGGTTACAATCATAACCATATTTTTTAAAGGGGTGGACCGGTAAGCCAGTAGAAGCCCTCAGTCAGATGACCAAAAGCTCCAGCTGCGGGTCATCATATGACTAAGACCCGCGTCAAGAAACTCTTGTCATGTTTCCTGACAAACCTACCTAACCTGGCCCTGAACGTGTACTTGCACTGTTGCTCTCAGTGTACATACATCAAGAGAGAAATTCATCAGAATAAAGTGTCTTTAGAATAATGGTATAAATTTATAATATTCTGTAAAATATTTATAGATTTTCCTGAATACTACTACTACTAATTAATAATAAAAAATACTACTACTAATAAAATACTAATACTGATAAAATAATTATTATTGCAGTGCTTTTGTCTATAATAATTTGTATATCACAGTTTACTCATCGCTGGGATATGTTGTCCATGGTGTGCAGACAGTAGGTGTGTTGCGTGGAGTTCGTAACACAGTGTGGGCGCAAGACGCACTACTGGCAAGGGGACACCAAAGCACGCGTCTCGCCGTTGCTTCAGGACCAACACTCTACATCATCGATGTTCTCAAATGAGGCTTCTGACACTACATCGTCAATGTTCTAAGGTGAAGCCCCGAACACTACATGGTCTTTGTTCAGCTCCGAGCACTACGTATGATTCATCCAACTAGGTATATTTCTATACACCATATACTTAGTTGGATGATTTTTTATTAGAGCCAACTGGCTGATTGGTTCATGCACTGGCCTGTGAGTTTTAAGACTCACTTGCCATGGGTTCAAAACTCACCCGTACCGTGATTTGTTTGCAGTCGTGTTATTACGATTTCGTGAGTGTGTGTGTATATATATATATATAATATATATATATATATTTATATATATATATATATATATATATATATATATATATATATATATAATGATCTCTGGCTGAAGGAGACTCGAACCTACGAACCTTGGGACAAGGTACGCAGTGCTATACCAATCTCACCACACTGGACAATACCTTGGCGTCCAGCTTGCGCTAGACGTTTTGATCCAAGGCAGCCAGCTTTCAGGAGAAGGCTTACAGCTTTTCATCTCATCCCCTGCATGCATCAGCCTTTCTAGAGATTTTAACAATGCAAGGAATTCGCAAGAGCAGGCAAAATATACACAAACACTGATCTCTGGCACACACACACACACACACACACACACACACACACACACACACACACACACACACACACACACACACACACACACACACATATATATATATATATATATATATATATATATATATATATATATATATATATATGCATGGTAGAAGTGGATCTTAAGGCCTGAATGAAACCATCAGAAGCTGAAAATTTAATTGGGTTGTACATGCTTTGTTTTCTTTTTCAGGCAGTGAGATCATGGAGATTCTCATAAGCAGAAAGGATTTCTGATCATGAGCATCTCAGAGATGAGAACCTTGGGAAAACATATTTTAATTGGCCCCGAGATGCTAATGATAATGCTGTTTTGGATCCAGCGCCGAATAAACTTTTAAAAATCTAAATGTTCATTTTCTTTTCATTTTAACATGTTATTTTCAGTCCTGTTTAAATAACAATATTTTCTATGGTTTTCTGCAGATGAACTCCACTAGTCATTGTGGTAGTCTACAAGCCTCCGGATGCAACATCCCAGCAATTCCAGGAACAGCTGTTAAAAATTGACCACTGTCTGGAAAACCTTCCAGCTCCTGCACCCAACATCTTGCTCCTGGGGGATTTCAACTTAAGGCACCTAAAATGGAGGAATATAGCAAATAATATTGTTGCAGTAATAACACCAGGAGGCAGCTCTGATGAAAACTCACACTCACGCGAGCTTTTAAATCTCTGCACAAAATTCAATTTAAACCAGCAAATAATAGAGCCTACTAGACTGGAGAATACACTAGACCTCATCTTCACTAACAATGATGATCTGATAAGAAATGTCACCATATCAAAAACAATATACTCAGATCACAACATAATTGAGGTTCAGACATGTATGCGTGGAGCCCCAGACCGACATAATGAGACTAGTCACGAGGGAGCATTCACCAAATTCAACTTCAATAACAAAAACATAAAGTGGGACCAAGTAAACCAAGTCCTAACCGATATAAGCTGGGAAGATATACTAAGCAACACAGACCCCAACTTATGCCTAGAACAGATTAACTTGGTGGCACTCGATGTATGCACAAGGCTTATTCCTCTAAGAAAAGGAGGAGTAGATGTAAAATAGAAAGAGACAGGCGCTCCCTTTACAGGCGACGGAAAAGAATAACAGAGCGGCTAAAAGAGGTCAATATATCTGAAATGCGTAGGGAGACACTGGTCAGAGAAATAGCAAGCATCGAACTTAAGCTAAAGGAATCTTATAGGAGTCAGGAATCGCGGGAAGAACTAAAAGCCATAAATGAAATCGAAAGAAACCCAAAGTATTTCTTCTCCTATGCCAAATCAAAGTCGAGAACAACGTCCAGTATTGGGCCCCTACTTAAACAAGATGGGTCCTACACAGATGACAGCAAGGAAATGAGTGAGCTACTCAAGTCCCAATATGACTCAGTTTTTAGCAAGCCGCTAACCAGACTGAGAGTCGAAGATCAAAATGAATTTTTTATGAGAGCCACAAAATTTGATTAACACAAGCCTATCCGATGTTATCCTGACGCTAAATGACTTCGAACAGGCGATAAATGACATGCCCATGCACTCTGCCCCAGAGCCAGACTCATGGAACTCCGTGTTCATCAAGAACTGCAAGAAGCCCGTATCACGAGCCTTTTCCATCCTATGGAGAGGGAGCATGGACACGGGGGTCGTCCCACAGTTACTAAAAACAACAGACATAGTCCCACTCCACAAAGGGGGCAGTAAAGCAACAGCAAAGAACTACAGACCAATAGCACTAACATCCCATATCATAAAAATCTTTGAAAGGGTCCTAAGAAGCAAGATTACCACCCATCTAGAAACCCATCAGTTACACAACCCAGGGCAACATGGGTTTAGAACAGGTCGCTCCTGTCTGTCTCAACTATTGGATCACTACGACAAGGTCCTAAATGCACTAGAAGACAAAAAGAATGCAGATGTAATATATACAGACTGCAAAAACCTTCGACAAGTGTGACCATGGCGTAATAGCGCACAAAATGCGTGCTAAAGGAATAACAGGAAAAGTCGGTCGATGGATCTATAATTTCCTCACTAACAGAACACAGAGAGTAGTCGTCAACAGAGTAAAGTCCGAGGCAGCTACGGTGAAAAGCTCTGTTCCACAAGGCACAGTACTCGCTCCCATCTTGTTCCTCATCCTCATATCCGACATAGACAAGGATGTCAGCCACAGCACCGTGTCTTCCTTTGCAGATGACACCCGAATCTGCATGACAGTGTCTTCCATTGCAGACACTGCAAGGCTCCAGGCGGACATCAACCAAATCTTTCAGTGGGCTGCAGAAAACAATATGAAGTTCAACGATGAGAAATTTCAATAACTCAGATATGGTAAACACGAGGAAATTAAATCTTCATCAGAGTACAAAACAAATTCTGGCCACAAAATAGAGCGAAACACCAACGTCAAAGACCTGGGAGTTATCATGTCGGAGGATCTCACCTTCAAGGACCATAACATTGTATCAATCGCATCTGCTAGAAAAATGACAGGATGGATAATGAGAACCTTCAAAACTAGGGAGGCCAAGCCCATGATGACACTCTTCAGGTCACTTGTTCTATCTAGGCTGGAATATTGCTGCACACTAACAGCACCTTTCAAGGCAGGTGAAATTGCTGACCTAGAAAAAGTGCAGAGAACCTTCACGGCGCGCATAACGGAGATAAAACACCTCAATTACTGGGAGCGCTTGAGGTTCCTAAACCTGTATTCCCTGTAACGCAGGCGGGAGAGATACATGATTATATACACTTGGAAAATCCTAGAGGGACTAGTACCGAACTTGCACACGAAAATCACTCACTACGAAAGCAAAAGACTTGGCAGACGATGCAACATCCCCCCCAATGAAAAGCAGGGGTGTCACTAGCACGTTAAGAGACCATACAATAAGTGTCAGGGGCCCGAGACTGTTCAACTGCCTCCCAGCATACATAAGGGGGATTACCAACAGACCCCTGGCAGTCTTCAAGCTGGCACTGGACAAGCACCTAAAGTCGGTTCCTGACCAGCCGGGCTGTGGCTCGTACGTTGGTTTGCGTGCAGCCAACAGCAACAGCCTGGTTGATCAGGCTCTGATCCACCAGGAGGCCTGGTCACAGACCGGGCCGCGGGGGCGTTGACCCTCGGAACTTTCTCCAGGTAAACTCCAGGTCTCCAGGTAAACTTCATAAATACAGGCATATAATAAAACATATTTATAGTAAGTACCAGTCAATAAATCTTTATCATACAATTCAGTCACGTGCATATTTACATATACTTTAGTATGGTACTTGTAAACAATATATTGTTCAAATAGAATGATTTTCAAGCACTTTTATACGTCTAGTAAATAGGTGAAAAAAATACATGCAAATTTGCTTTGACAAGGTATTTTTCATTATTATTCTTAAATTTTATCATGAACCTAGCAACACACAAAAAATATTATATGTATCCAAGCCTTCATAGTTTTGTAAATCCTCTGATGTGCATGTACTTTATGAAAAGGTGAAATAGTTCACGATGTGTGGACTGTGAATAATTTGCTGCTTGGTAACAAAGCAACTTCATCTGATCAGTTACCTCATACGGCTCTTCTCTATTCATTACCCTTAATTTTGCTTCGTATCTAATCTTCCCGGTATATCAAGATCATTTCGGCACATTAAAAGTATTTCTTTTCGGAAGCTTTAGTCGATTTTCCATTATTTAGCAATAATTCTGTTATCGCCAATATTGTCGCTCCCCATCCAGGTTACTGTACTAATAATGAGGTGTTTGAAACAGCTAGGTCAGCCTGTGATGGTTCCCGAACACAGTGAGTGGTTGGTTTATTAGTTTAAACCCTATCGAGTGCACGAATTATTAAGCTGTAAATAAACAATAGACTACCAGTCAATGGTGTTTTAATCCCTTAAAAACAGGAGTTAAATTAAATTCTGCATATAACAAATGTCTAATGCTCGGTATAAATAACCGTTCCAGGACAGACAAAGATATCTCGGTGGTGGCCCTGGTGGGTATGTTTGACTGTATTAGTTAAGGGCGTGGTACATATGAACTACAAGTGCCTAAGCTGTCAAAAACGACTCGAGGAAATATGTGAAATACAGGAACTATAATATTTGTTTATTCAACCAAACATATACATAAGCTACTGTATGCACGACTGATCACATAATTAAATCTGTTAAGGAATAGCCAGTAGCAGTTAATCTAGACAACAGAACACCCATTGTGCAGTCAGATTAAGGCAGCTGAACTTTTATCATGATACTCGCCTTTCTCCTCCCCTCAGTCGTCTCTCTATATGTTACTAAGTATATTGTCTTTAACATGCTCAGTAATTTCTACAACTGTTATATAAGAAATAAATTAAGTAGGTAATGATGAATAATTATATGTAACCATGGTTCTCAAGACACGGTTTCATTTACACACCACACTCACCGACACTTTGGGATATAGACATTGGCCTCATGACTAGCAAAACTTTATAAGAGACGGAAAAACTTAGTATACATGAGCTTCCGTTAATGACTATTGAATTGTGCGTTTACTTTGGTGAATAAGAAATTTATATGGCTACGGACTCGTGGAGATCAGTGTGACTATATTGGCTGATCTTTTATAAACTTTAAGTATTCCGCATTTATCTGCGTTAACTGAAAATAATTTCATTTACCATGTTCAAATTTTTTGGCTGTCTCTGTACCCCCAGGACTCCGTCCGGGCAAGACGTTTTTTATCCCAAAATTTTTTTCACGTCTCAAAAATGTAACAACGCAAAAGCCTTTTCAGCTGGAGGGGTGAAAACTCCAAATTTTTAAGTTCAAGTTGTAGAAACCCTTGATAGTTTTAAAACAATGTTACAATGAAATACTAAACGTTAAAAGACAAAAAAATTAATTTTATACATCCCGGGAAGTCAGAAATATTTTTAAGCTGGCCCGCAAACCGATTAGTTCAACCTGAATTGTTTTTAAATGATAACAAACTACAGTAATCCCGAAGGTTCTTAGATTTCAAACGGTGAATCTATGCTTCAACTAGTCAACAGAAGATTGGAAAGCAGGGGACTTTTGTAAGGGAATGAAAACGGTAAACCCCACTTTTTTAAAAATTGAGTCCTGCGCAATTTCCACAAGTAGCAACTCTGCCTAAACATCCCCGTCCCAATCTTGAAATATTTAAAAATACCACCCCCCATCTTAGAAAAATTTTCCCCTGTTCAGTAAAAGAGAGGGTTTTTTCATTGATTCCTTATGCTGCCAAGTATGGGGACAACACCCAACATTATCTTTGGAACACATGTAGGGTTTAAAACCCTCCCTCCTCAAAACATCACACACGTATAACAAAAAAATATCTGTATAAAAAATAAGAATGAGTAATCTCACAAACAAAAAAAAAATAAAATTTTGCAAGGGGTGCCGGGAGAGTCGAGCAGAAGTATAGGAAAAATGGGTAGCGGGGGATATGTGGAAACCCTCCTACACCCCCAAAGGGTTACCCCTAAACCCCCAAGGGTTAAAAACCCCCTCACCCCCAAGGGTTCCCCCTCACACCCAAGCCTGTCCCACATGTCACCTGCCCATCTGTAAACCCCCTCATTCACACTTCTCTCCACGCACACAAAAATACAAAAATTTAATGACTAGTTCGCGCGCTTCAAGGGATAAAATGTCTAGATTCAGGCCAACAAAATTTTAACATTATAAAAGTAAATTAACATTTCCTGCATAAACATTACAAAAAACGTTCTTTCGTTTTGTTTCCCCTAAATTAATCGGCATTAAGTCTTTTTATTAATAGTGAGCAAAAAAACGCGATAAGGTAGGAACTGTTTACACTGACGACCTCTGGGTGGCCGAACCACCCCCCTCTAAAAAACTTCATCTCCCCCCCTGATTTCATTCTAAATGTTCACCCGATCGGTTTTACCCCCGGTATTCACCCGACTGTGTTCACATGTTGGTCTTACCAGTACGGGGGGGACCGACCGATATGTCACCGGGTGGGAAACCTGTTCAAGACGTGAGTATCCTTTTACCCTTGAAAAAAAGAGTGAAACGGGTTGGGATTTGGGCGCCCCCCCCACAAGGGTGTTTAAATCCCGCCCACGGGGTTTTTTTAACTCCTCCCACACAGTGGTGTTAACTCCTCCCCCACAACTGGGTTAACTCTTACCATACGCTGATGTTAACCCTGCCCCACAGCTGGTGTTAACTCCTACCCCTACAGCTGGTGTTGGGGTCCCTACCCAAAGCTGGTGTTAGGACCACACCTACACAGTGGTTTAGAAATCCTACCCCCACTACTGTAGGGTAAAAAACCACCGTGCTGTTGCCTTGTATCCTGGGGTTTAAAAAAAAAAAAAAATGCAGTAATTTTACAGGGAAAATTAACTTTTCGACCTTGCTTAAGGGGCACCAAAATTTTGATGCTAATCAATCTCTTTTTCGTCTTGAAAATGGTGAAAAAGTAAAAAGAAGATTAACTCCCCCCCCCCCCTCCCTCTTTTTTTTTTTTGGCCCTTTAGCGAGGATTACTGAAATTTGCAGTCTTAGTTAAAAGCCAAGTCTCTTGGTGAGATATATTGTTTGCGGTAGAGGAAACATGATTTTAAACGTAATCTATTTGAACTCTCTAAAATTTCCATTCCTTAAAATCTGCCCTTTTGATAAACCACAAAAATTTTGCATAAAAATTAGGATGTTCTTGAGTTAATTTAAAACAGTTTGGGTGAAAAGCTAGCTAAATCACCTTTAATGAAAAGCGAAGGGCAATCCCCAAAAATACTATTTCGGGGATCCGAAATTGATGTGTATTTTTCCCCAAAAACTGGTAATTGTATGGTTGACCAATTTGCTGTGCATTACACTTTTTCTTGAATTCCTGCTTATTTTTTTTTTTCATATTTTTAAAAAAAGTCCCCCGTTTTACCAACACAAATGCACCCTTTTATTTTTTTCTAATTTAATTTGGCATAGAATGGGAAACGCATTTTCTTGGAGATTATCTCCAACACACTCAAATGCACTAAATAAATTTAGCACTGTTGACCTTGCACTCGAGATGATTCACCTATCATCATTTTTTTTATAGCGAAGATGAAGGATCGGGGATCTTGGAGACTCTTACACGTTCTCAATCCTGATCTTGATGACGTCGTCGGCCTGAGCCAGCAGCTTTTTCTTCTCGGAACAAGGCAAGTCGTCGTCTTCGAAATCATCCTCATCTTCTTCCATCTCCAGCTCCGGAGGCTGTAGACACAGACCACTGTTACTCTACCACAAACTCTTGTCGCTCCATCACACAACCTTGCTACTCCACTACACACTACTGATTTCACCACAGCCTTTTCCTCTACCCCACACAATTTCATCCATACACAATCTTTCACACATTCACACACAAAAATATAAACACACCCCAAGTTCCTCAACTAATACTTATCTAAATCACCCAGGACCTTCCCTAACCCTTTAATATACGTACCAGTGAATACCAACATGATACTTTTACCCAGCAAACATGTTTCGGCCTAAAGCACAGGAATAAAGTTTAAAACTAAGCTAATTAAAAGATCCAAAATTAGAAGAGAACAAGTAAAAAGATTAAATTTTGGGTTGCTGGTATATTTGGTTATACAATTATTAAATATTTAGTCATCTTGGAAAATTATACTTACGTGAAGCACAAAGATCTATGACAACTACAACAGAGGCACTACCTATCTGAGAACAGAAGTGACTGACCTTAGTCTTGACGACCTTGATGTCGTCAGGCGGGGCGGTGAGTGTGAAGCACAGCCACAGAATAACCAGCGCTGATGTGAAGATGGTGACAGCGATGAACCATCTTGGCAATCCAGACTTGCGTGAAATACATTCTAGCAGATCTAGCTGCTGCTGCTGCGCTGCTGCTGCTGCTGTTGCTGTTGCTGTTGCTGGTTCTGCTGCTGTTGTTGCTGGTTCTGCTGCTGTTGCTGGTCGTGCTGAGGATTTTGCTGTTGTTGTGACTGCTGCTGCTGTTGGGACTGTTGTGGCTGTTGCAAGTGACGGTGGTGGCACTCATGGTCGTGGTGGTGGACAAAGCTGGGGTCAGCCAGAGGAACATCATCGCTGACAACACAACAATATTTAGTTACCTTGTGAGATATATATACATAATCATTTTTTATTAACACATCGGCCGTTTCCCACCAAGGCAGGATGACTTGAAAAAGAAGAAACACTTTCATCATCATTCACTCCATCAGGCTGGAGGCAGTGATGTCATGTCTGAGAACAATGTGTGGTATGGATATAATGCAGAGAATACGTAGTTTGGAAATTTAAGGAGGAGGTGGAGGATTACCAAAACTATTATCCAGAGGGCATGTAGAGAGTGTATAAATCTGTAGTGGAGGAAGGGGGGGTAGGGGCCGGCCTAGGAAAGGTTGGAGGGAAGGGGTAAAGGAGGTTTTGTGTGCGAGGGGCTTGAACTTCCAGCAAGCATGCGTGAGCGTGTTAGATAGGAGCGAATGGAGACAAATGGTTTTTAGGACTTGACGTGCTGTTGGAGTGTGAGCAAGGTAGCATTTATGAAGGGATTCAGGGAAACTGGCAGTCCGAACTTGAGTCCTGAAGATGGGAAGTACAGTGTCTGCACTCTGAAGGAGGGGTGTTAATGTTACAGTTTTATAACTGAAGTGTAAGTGCGCCTCTGGCAAGACAGTGATGGAGTGAATTTTCTTTTTCGGGCCACCCTGCCTTGGTGGGAGACGGCCGATGTGTTAATAATATACATATATATATATATATATATATATAATATATATATATATATATATATATATATATATATATATATATATATATATATATATATATATATATATATATATATATATATTAACAAGTCGGCCGTCTCCCACCGAGGCAGGGTGACCCAAAAAGAAAGAAAATCATTCAACACTTTCACCTCACTCACACATAATCACTGTTTTTGCAGAGGTGCTCAGGACACAACAGTTTAGAAGCATATACGTATAAAGATACACAACATATCCCTCCAAACTGCTAATATCCCGAACCCCTCCTTTAGAGTGCAGGCATTGTACATCCATTTCCAGGACTCAAGTCCGGCTATATAAAAATAACCGGTTTCCCTGAATCCTTCACTAAATATTACCCTGCTCACACTCCAACAGATCGTCAGGTCCCAAATCATTCGTCTCCATTCACCCCTGTCGAACACGCTCATGCACGCCTGCTGGAAGTCCAAGCCCCTCGCCCACAAAACCTCCCTTACCCTTCCTTCCAACCTTTTCGAGGGAGACCCTCAACCCGCCTTCTTCCCTACAGATTTATACGCTCTCAATGTCATTCTACTTTGAACCATTTCTCTAAATGACCAAAGCACTCAACAAAAAACCCCTCTACAGCCCTCTGACTAATACTTTTTATTACTCCACGCCTTCTCTAATTTCCACACTCCGATTTTCTGCATAATATTTACACACCATTGCCCTTAGACACGACCATCTCCACTGCCTCCAACCGCCTCCTCGCTGCTGCATTCAACAACCCAAGCTTCACACCCATATTAGAGTGATGGTCCTACTATACTTTCATACATTTCCCTTCTTTGCCTCCATAGATACGTTTTTTGTCTCCCATACACCTCAACGCACACTCACCTTTTTTTCTCATCAATTCTATGGAATTAACCTCATCCTTCATAAATCCATCCGCCGACACGTCAACTCCCAAGTATCAGGAAAAAACATTTCACTTCTTCACATACTCCTCCCCAATTTGCTATCCAATTTTTCTTTATCTCAATCATTTGATACCTCCATCACCTTATTCTTTTCTTTGTTCACTTTCAACTTTCTCCCTTTACACACACTCCCAAACTTCATCCACTAACCTTTGCAATTTTTCTTTAGAATCTCCCCATAAGCACAGTATCATTAGCCAAAAGCAACTGTGTCGATTTCCCATTTTGTATTTGATTCCCCATATTAATCCCACCCCTCTCCTGAACTACACCCTTAGCATTTACTTCTTTTTACAGCTCTCTCTATAAATATATTAAACAACCATGGATGACCATTACACATTCCTGTCTAAACGGGAACTACTTTTACCGGGAAGTAGTTTCCTACTCTTCTACACACCCTAACCTGAGCCTCCTTATCCTCATAACAACTCTTTAACAGCATTTAGTGTAACTTACCACTATTTTCATATGACGTGCAACATCTGCCACATTGTTCCCCTGTCCACTCTGTCATATGCCTTTTCTTCTAATCCATAATGCAATAAAACTTCCAACCTTTATCTAAATACTGTTCACATATATGGCTTCAATGTAACACTTGCTTACACATCCCCTACCCATCTAAGATCCTCCTTGCTCATCCTCCGTATCTACATTCTGTCTTACTATAATTCTTTCAATTTAAACCCTACCGTACACTTTTTTTGGTATATCAATACACTTATTCCTCTATAATTTTTACAATCTGTTTTGTCACCCTTCCTTTATATAAAAGGGACTATACATGCTCTCGGCCAATCCTAGGTACCTTTCCCCACTTTTTTTTTTCTTTTTCATACATTTATGAAACAAAAATCCATCCACTCCAACACTGTATCATCCCTGCTTTTAACATTTCTGTCATGAATCCCGGTCAGTTTCCAGTTGCTTTACCCCATTTCATTCTACGTTATGCCTCAAGCACCTCCCCATCACTACATCTGATTTTCTTACTCTAAAGATGGTATACCTCCCTGGCCAGTGCATGAAATTCCGCTCCCTTTCTTCGTCGACATTTTAAAGTTCCTCAAAATTTCCTTGCATCTACCCAAAACCTCCATCTCCCCTCTATAACTCCCTACTCTGTTTTTAACTGACAAATCCATTCGTTTCCCTAGGCTTTCTTAACATGTTTAACTCACTCCAAAATTTTTTCATATTTTTCATTAAAATTTCTTGACAGTTGCCTCTCCCACTCTATCATCTGCTCAGGCTATATATATATATATATATATATATATTATATATTTTATATATATTATATATATATATATATATATATATATATATATAATTATATATATTTATATATTATATATCTATTATATTTCATTATATATATATTATATATATTACAATCGCACCTGGGATGGTCCAATAGTGGGAAGATTTTGCCACAACAATCTTCAGAGTGTGTCAGGGAAGGATAGAGCCGCCTCCTGGCAGTTGAGAGCCTCATGCTGGGGCTTTCTGTTGCTGTTCCCAACTCCAGCCTTGGCACACGCTCTTGACCCACAGACATCCGCCATTGGTGTTGCCTTTCGACTTGCCGCCCCATCTCGCCGAACACAGGTGTGTATTTGTCGGGCAGTGAAGCAGCAGAACCGATTCGGGTACCATGGTCTTGTGTGCCGTAAATCCGAGGGAAAGATTGCAAAGACTATGAGGAGGTTATAACATTATCAAGAGGAGAGCCTCACAACAGCTGGATGCCCAGCAGTAAGGGAGCCACCCCACTATGCAGATCTGTGGCAGCCAGAAGCGTCCAGATGGTATCACCCTTCAAGCCTGGGACAGGATGGGAAGCGGTGGTGTGGGACTATACATGTGCATCTACCTTGGCTGATACCTTTCTCCAATACACCCAGGAGGAAGGAGGGGCAGCTGCCAGCTTCAGGGAGTCCAAAAGTCTAGAAAATATGGAGAAACTTGCCTATCATTATATGTTTGTTCCCATAGGCCAGAGGGGACCTTGGCCTCATGGGGAAAAGAGTGCATCCCTATTTCCTTAAGGAGCTGGGAGAAAAAGACTCCTCCGGGTAACTGGGATCCAGGCAGCTAGTTTTCTGTTCCGCGTCTCGTGCGGCTGTTCAAAGGGGTAATGCCTGTGCATTTAGGGCACACTCCCAGCTCTGAGGACGCTGGATGAGATTTTCGCCCTTTTAATCGGTGTTACACACGTAACAACATGTACCGTCTATGCCACCTTTATATTAATAATGTACTCTTAAATTCTGTGCCATATATGTAATAAAATATTCTATTGGTAGAAAAAAAATAGTGTAAAAAGATGGGTGGTAGGAGAAAGTGGAATATTCAATCGGCTTCAGGAAAAAAATCCAAAATATTCCTCCTTGAAGCCTTTTTATCCACTTCTCCGAGGCTATGGCTCCCACAATTTACACAGAGGTGGACCAATTGTATATATATATAATATATATATATTTATATATATATAATATAATAATATATATATTATATTATATTTATATTTTTATATATTATAGATATATATATTTATATAATATATATATATATATATTATATATATAATATTACATTACATACATACATGATATTGTTATCCTCCCTTTCATCATACTATTTATTGTCAGCTACAAATCATAAAAAAATTGTGTCCATATCCTTAACTTCTCAACATTTGTAATCTAACTGTCATATACAAATAATAACATACAAATTGTTTCCCGTCACCTGAACCACTGGAGCTGCAAGACCTACCTAACTCCGATGGTGTAGTGGCCGAGAAGCTCTGAGTAGTAGACTCGGCCTCCAGGGAATTTATGCTGGCTGTTGTGGGCTGGTGAGACCCCGTGGGACAACGCTAAACGGGGCACTGCTTCTGGGGAAGATATGAATTGTACATCTCTGAGTCGTTGTAACGTTATACGGGGTACTACACATACCAGTTATAACGATTTTTAAAATAAATAAGATGCTATGTACGAAAGCCGGCATCATTAAATGAGGTATAAAACTCGTTTGGGTCATTTAATGTGTAATCTACTTTAAATAATTATAAAAACGCGTAATAAATTAAATCTGTTGAAATTGACAAGTATTAACTCTAAAATTTATGTGACCAGGATGAGTTGTTCATAAAAAAAATCATGATGGGCATTCTTCTGTTTGTCACATTCCCACTCCCACTGACGTAAACTTAAATTAAGGTTTCAATTAAAATGTAAAAAATAGGATAAATATAAAATTTTAGGAAGTGCATCAATTCTGGTGACGAGACGCCGAAAAAATTCCACGTCACTGCCACCGTTGTTGGAACCTCTGCCACCACAGTTGGTGTTCCTGCCACTATAGCTGATATCCCTGCCATCACAGCTGGTACCCCTGCCACTATGGCTGATATCCCTGCCATCAAAGCTGGTACCCCTGCCACTACGGTTGATACCCCTGCCATCACAGCTGGTACCTGCATACGGTTGATACCCTTCCATCACAGCTGGTACCCTGCCACTCGTTGGATACCCCTGCCATCACAGCTGGTACCCCTTCCACTACGGTTGATATCCCTGCCATCACAGCTGGTACTCCTGTCACTACGGTTGATACCCCTGCTATCACATTATTATTATTATTATTATAATCAAAAAGAAGCGCTAAGCCACAAGGACTATACAGCCCTGCTATCACAGCTGGTACTCCTATCACTACGGTTGATACCCCTGCCATCACAGCTGGTATCCCTGCCACTACGGTTGATATCCCTGCCATCACAGCTGGTACCCTGCCATCACAGCTGGTATCCCTGCCACCACGGTTACATTCCTTACCATTCACAGTGGTAACCCCTGCTATACGGCTGTTACCCTTAACCATCACAAGCTGGTACCTGCCTCTACAACATGTCTCTGCCACTATAGTTGTGTCTATGCCACATCTAATAACCCTGCCACCAACTATACTCCTGTTCACGGAAGCTATATCCGGCCCACCACAGCTATACTCCTGCCACCAGTATTACCCTGCACCACAGCTCTACTGCCCACCAAGCTAATACCCCTGCACCACAGCTATACTGCCCCCAAGTAATACCCCTCCACCACGCAATTACTCCTGGCACCAAAACTAATACCTCTGTTCACCTGAACAGGAAAGATTTAAATAACAAGGGTGTACAATAGTCCTTTGGATAACACTACCATGACAATGCTAATTCTGCAGCCAACGATTCTAAAACTGCATCCTGCACCTCCAGTTAACAGCTGCTGCAGTGACACGTGATTTATCAGCACATGATACAGCCTGCTGCAGTGACGCGTGATAATCAAGCACGTTACAGCTGCTGCAGTGACCAGTGACACGTGATATTTCAGCACATGTACAGTGCTGCAGTGGACGCGTGATATATCAGCCACATGTACAGCGCTGCAGTGACACGTGATTATATCAGGCACATGTTACAGCTGGCTGCAGTGACCGTGATATATCAGCACATGTTACAGGCTGCTGCAGTGGACACGTGATATTATCAGCACATGTTACAGCCCTGCTGCAGTGACGCGTGATATATCAGCACGTACAGCTGCTGCAGTGGGCCAGTGATATATCAGCACATGTGACAGCTGCTACAGTGACAGTGATTTATCAGCACAGTTACGCTGCTGCGGACGCGTGAATTATCAGACATGTTACAGCTGCTGCAGTGACACGTGATATATCAGCACATGTTACAGCTGCTGCAGTGGACGCGTGATATATCCAGCAACATGTTACAGCTGCTGCAAGTGACACGTGATTATATCAGCACTGTTTTAACAGCTGCTGCAGTGGGAACGTGATATATCAGCACATGTTACAGCTGCTGCAGTGACACGTGAGATATCAGACCCCCACTGTTTACAGCCCTGCTGCAGTGACACGTGATAATCAGCACATGTTACAGCTGCGCAGTGAACGTGATATATCAGAATGTTTACAGCGGCTGCAGTGACGTGAATCTCAGACATGATACAGCAGCTGCAGTGGACGCGAGCTATATCAGCACATGTTAAGCTGCTGCAGTGACAGTGATTATAACAGACATGTTCAGCTGCTTGCCGTGACAGTGATATATCCGCACATGTTACAGCTTGCTGCAGTGATGACACGTGTGATATATCAAGCACGATTACAGCTGCTGCAGAGACACGTGATTATATCAGCACATGTTACAGCTGCAGCAGTGACACGTGATATATCTGCACATGTTACTGCTGCTGTACAGTGACACGTGATATATCTGCACATGTTACAGCTGCTGCGCAGTAGTAGTGACCCGTGATAATCAAGCACGTTACAGCGTGCTGCAGTGCGCTGATATATCAGCACATGTTACAGCTGCTGCAGTGAGACACTTATATATCAGCCCATGTTAAAGCTGTGCTTGCAGTGACGCGTGATATATCAGCACATGTTCAGCTCAGCGCAGAGTGACACGTGATTATCAGCACATGTTACAATGCTGCAGTGACACGTGATATATCAGGCTCATGTTACAGTGCTGCCGTGACGCGTGATATGATATATCAGCACATGTTACAGCTGCTGCAGTGACACGTGATATATCAGCACGTTACAGCTGCTGCATGTCACGTGATATATCAGCACCTGTTACTGCTGCTGCAGTGAACTGTTGATATATCAGCACGTTACAGCTGCTGCAGTGACGCGTGATATATCAGCACATGTTACAGCTGCTGCAGTGTCACGTGATATATCCAGCACATGTTAAGCTGCTGCAGAGGACACGTGAATATCAGCACGTTACAGGCTGATGCAGTGACGCGTGATATACAGCCATTGTTACAGCTGCTGACAGTGACACGTGATTATCTGCACATGTTACAGCCTGTGCAGTGACGCGTGATATATCAGCCACATGTTACAGCTGCTGCAGGACACGTGATATATCAGCACGTTACAGCTGCTGCAGTGACACGTGATATATCAGCACATGTTACAGCTGCTGCAGTGACACGTGATATATCAGCACGTTACAGCTGCTGCAGTGACACGTGATATATCAGCACATGTTACAGCTGCTGCAGTGACACGTGATATATCAGCACAGTTACAGTGCTGCAGTGGATGACACGTGATATATCAGCACATGTTACAGCGCTGCAGTGACACGTGATATATCAGCACATGTTACAGCTGCTGCAGTGACACGTGATATATCAGCACGTTACAGCTGCGCAGTGACACGTGATATACAGCACATGTTTACAGCTGCTGCAGTGACACGTGATATAACAGCACGTTACAGCCTGCTTGCAGTACACGTTGATATATCAGCAATGTTACAAGCTGCTGCAGTGACACGTGATATATCAGCACACATGTTACAGCTGCTGCAGTGAACGTGTTATTATCAGCACTGTTACAGCTGCTGCAGTGACGCGTGAGATATCAGCCTCGTTACAGGCTGCTGCAGTGACGGCGTTGATGTATCAGCACATGTTACAGCTGCTGCAGTGACACGTGATTTTTTATTAAAAATCCTGGGGGGGCGGGGGGGGGGGTACATGTTACAGCTTGCTGCAGTGACGCGTGATATATCAGCACATGTACAGCTGCTGCAGTTGAACGTTGTATATCAGCACGTACAGCTGCTGCAGTGCACGTGATATATCAGACAGTTACAGCTGCTGCAGTGGACACTGTATATCAGCACGTTACAGCTGCTGCAGTGACACGTGATTATATAGCACTGCTACAGCTGCTGCAGTGACACGTGATATATCTGCACATGTTACAGCGCTGCAGTGGACGCGTGATATATCAGCACATGTTACAGCTGCTGCAGTGGACGCGTGATATATCAGGCACATGTTACAGCTGCTGCCGTGACGCGTGATATAATCAGCACATGTTACAGCTGCCTGCAGTGACACCGGGATATATCAGCAATGTTACAGCTGCTGCAGTGACACGTGATATTCAGCACGTTACAGGCGCTGCAGTGACGCGTGATTATCAGCACCTGTTACAGCTGCGCATGTGACACGTGATATATCTGACATGTTACAGGCTGCTGCAGTGACGTGATATATCAGCACGTTACAGCTGGCTGCAGTGACGCGTGATATATCAGCACATGTTACAGCGCTGCAGTGACAGTGAATTATCAGCACATGTTTTTTACAGCTGCTGCAGTGACGCGTGATATAATCAGACATGATACAGCTGCTGCAGTGGGACACGTGATTATATCAGCACGTTTACAGTGCTGCAGTGACAGAGATATATCAGCACATGTTACAGCTGCTGCAGTGACACGTGATATTCAGCACGTTACCAGCTGCTGCGTGAACGTGAATATCAGGGCCAACATGTTACAGCTGCTTGCAGTGACACGTGATATATGCAAGCACCATGTTTACACCTGCTGCAGTGGCACGTGATATATCAGCACATGTTACAGCTGCAGCAGTGACACGTGATATAACAGCACATGTTACAGCTGCTGCAGTGACACGTGATATGATCAGGCACGTTACAGCTGCTGAAGTGACACGTGATTATCGCACTTGTTACAGCTGCTGCTGTGACAGTGATATATCAGCACGTTACAGCTGCGCAGTGACACGTGATATATTCAGACATGTTACAGCTGCTGCAGTAGTGACACGTCGTATATCAGCACATGTTACAGCTGCTGCAGTGACACGTGATAATCAGCACATGTTTACAGCTGCTGCAGTAGTGAACGCGTGATATATCATGCACGTTACAGTTGCTGCAGTGACGCGTGATTATCAGCACATGTACAGCTGCTGCAGTGACCACGTGATAATCAGCACATGTTACAGATGCTGCAGTGACGCGTGATATATCAGCACATGTTACACCGCTGCTGCAGGTGACACGTGATCTATCAGCACGTTACAGCTGCTGCAGTGGACACGTGGTATATCAGCACTTTTACAGCTGCTGCAGTGACACGTGATATATCAGCACATGTTACAGCTGCTTGCAGTTGGACACTGTGATTTATCAGCACATGCTACAGCTGCTGCGTGACACGTGATATATCAGCACATGTTACAGCTGCTGCAGTGGACGCGTGATATATCAGCACATGTTACAGCTGCTGCAGTGACACGTGATATATCAGCAATGTACAGCTGCTGCAGTGAGATGTGACACGTGATATATCAGCACGTTACAGCTGCTGCAGTGACGCGTGATATATCAGCACATGTTCAGCTGCTGCAGTGACGCGTGTGATATATCAGCACATGTAAGCTGCTGCGGTGACGCGTGATATATCAGCACATGTTACAGCTGCTGGCAGTGACGCGTGATATCTCAGCGCATGTTTCAGCTGCTGCAGTGACACTTGATATATCAGCACATGTTACAGCTGCTGCAGTGACGCGTGATATATCAGCACATGTTACAGCCTGCACTGCCGTTGACACGTGATAATATCCGCACATGTTTACAGCTGCGCAGGGACGTGATATATCAGCACATGTTACAGCTGCGCAGTGGAAGGGACACGTGATATATCAGCACATGTTACAGTGCTGCAAGTTGACGCGGATATATCAGCACATGTTACAGCTGCTGCAGTGGACACGTGAATATATCAGCACATGTTCTACAGCTTGCTGCAGTGGACACGTGATATCTCAGCACATGTTTACAGCTGCTGCAGTGAACGTGGATTTAATCAGCACATTTACAGTGCTGCAGTGTACAGCGTGATATATCAGCACATGTTTACAGCTGCTGCAGTGAGCACCGTGAATATATCAGCACTTTGTTACAGCTGCTTGCAGTGGACGTGATATATCAGCACATGTTACAGCATGCTGCAGAGCACGTGATTATCAGCACATGTTACAGCTGCTGCAGTGGCGCGGATATATCAGCCATGTTACAGCTGCTGCAGTGAAGCGGTGATATATCAGCACATGTTACAGCTGCTGCAGTGAACAGTGATATATCAGACATGTTACAGCTGCTGGCAGTGACACGTGTTATATCAGACATGTTACAGCCTGCTGCAGTGACCACGTGATATTCGCAATTGTTACAGCTGCTGCAGTGACGCGTGATATATCAGCACATGTTACAGCTGCTGCAGTGACACGTGATATATCAGCACATGTTACAGCTGCTGCAGTGACGCGTGATATATCAGCACATGTCACAGCTGCTGCAGTGACACGTGATCTTTCAGCCCCCAAACTCCCATCCCCCAGGCACTGAATGGCTCCCGAAGTTTAGCATTTCCTCATGAGTATTAATATATGGCGTCTTGCTCTTCCGCTACCTATGTTTAAGTTTATTATTTGGGAATATTGATGAGTATTCCGCAAAACCCCGTTACGAGGGTTAATAATGATGAAGTACAGTAGAGAAGAACAGCCTACCTTGTAATGTGTCGTGTCTCTCCTGGTGGGGAGAGTCTCTCTGACCTCCAGTGGTCCAGGCCCAGGTCACCCGCACCAGTCGACCCACGTGACCCGCCAGGTTGAACATGATGTGCTGGAACATGGCCAGGGGATTCCTGCCACTCTCAGCTATCCTGGATCTCGTCGGGCGTGTAGCAGCTGTGACAGCCTGGTAGTGGCACCCCACCACACACGCAGTCTGCTCCTCCGATATGTGGTACGCCGTCACACATGCTGCACACACACACATATACAAATTCAATATAACTCTATAACTAACCATAAAACTGCTAACAGGTCTCAGGCAATGCGACTTTTTCTGACTCCTATCTTCACTCTCCTTTCTCCCTTACCTGATTTGTTTACGAAATGTACGAAACTTAGTACTAGCAAATCTACGGACATCACTTTCAAGATTTCACTTACATTTGATATGCTACAATAAATTTAGTCTTGATATTGTTTCACATTAGTAAACTTTGCGATTTATTTCGTAACACAGCTATGTGACCTACGCATATAACATGTGCTCCAATTGTTCTCTAAATCACACAAGTAAAAACAAAAGCATCCTAATCAAATGTGATAAGCAATTTGTGTTGGTTAGAATTGGAACAACTGCCAAATCAAAGTATAACTTACAACATCGAACATTGTGGCACATATGCTAAAGAAAAATTTAAGGAAGGAATACTATCTATATGAACCTTATAAATATATAGTGGATGACCAGTCAGTTTGAATTTAAACAGCCCAAACAGCCCATGCCTGCTACTGAAACAAGACCCATCTCTCACCGTGCCTGTAAGAGACTACATACGTATCTTACCGTGATTGCAACTAGCCACATCTCTCACCGAGCATGGCATAGCTGTATCTCTCACCGTGTCTGCAACAAGCTGTGTCTCTCACAGTGACTGCAACAAGCCACATCACTCGCCATGCCTGCAACAAGCTGCATCTCTCACTCCGCCTGCAACCAGCTGTATCTCACCATGCCTGCAGGAATCCTTGGCCTGCTGAAGACGTTCCCCGTCCTGCACAACCCTCGCCTCCTGGAACTCCTCTGGCGTGAGCTGTGTGTACTCCTCGCTTTTGTCGCCTTGATGCAGGTTGTCTTTCCCAAGGATGATGATGGCATTGGTCTCGTGTCCCTCTTCCCTAGCTGCTTGAGCCCCAGCCGTGGTGGTGGGTGGGCGCGTGTTGGGCGTATGGGTGGTTGTAGCCTGGTGAGCAGCGTGGACCGCCTGGCCCTGTCCAGGATGGGTGGTGGTGGCCTGATGGTCCGCCTGGGCTGGGTGGTCCTGGACCGGGTGGTCTGCGGGCTGTGTGGTAGTTTGGCGGGTCTTGTGGTGTGGAGATCTAGTGTGTGCTGGTGGATTGCCGTCGGTTGCGTGGTGGAGATGGTGATGGTGGTGGTGGTGGTGTTCGCCAAGTTTCTCCAAGGGGTTCTTTTTCTCCACTCGCACTACCAGGTCGTGGGGCGGGGTGCGGGGCAGGGCCGGGGTCCTGGAGGGCAGGATGACAGGACCCAGGTGCAGGACCCGTGTCCGTTGCGGAGTGGAAATTAGCGCCACGGTGAAGAGGTCACACCCACGCTCACACATTCTCGATAACGCTGACTGTAGGAACGTTAACACAACCTCAGTGGTACCAACACATCCTCAGTTACCCTCCCAATACACACCTTTCCCATTACATATGTTCGCCTCACACTAAACAATAACTAATTGACACACTAGTTTGTATTATTAGAAACGCTAACCAATATTGCTATACCATTACACTAACTAGCCTGTACGATTAGAGACTAACTAATTCACAATAAGTAGTCTGTACTATTATATTCTAATTAGTAATTAAATGCATTGAGTACAAAAGGTACTTAATTACAAGATTAACCAAAAAATTCCTGCAGTATCTGCCAGTCGTAAGGAAGGAAACCAGAGTCACCTAGTGGCGAATACATCCCTTGATCATTTGGTGATCGTTACGTTATGTACGTCGTGAACAATATAACCTTGCCAGGAAAATCTGTGTTGATGGTACTACAGGGCGGCTGCAACATGCATAACCGGTACTGCTGGCGTGTTCCAGCACAACCCAGTATTGCATACCTACTACACAGCACAACCCAGTTCTGAAATAGTACTGACGTTCGTGAAACTAATTCACAGTACCTAGGTTGTACCATTAGAAACCTTTAGTTCACACTAATTATCCTGTACTCTTAGACACTAGCTCACACTAGCTAGCCTATTCCATTAGACACTAACTAGTGCACACCAAATAGCTTGTACTTTTAAACGCTAATTCGTGCACTCTAATTAGCCTGTACCCTTAGACTAACAAATTTACCCTAACTAGACTATGCCATGGGACACTAGTCTCAAATTTGCTAAACATTCAACTTTCACTCCCATTTCTCTTATCAAATCTATCTCCCATTTAACAGGCACTGAATGACTCCTACAAGCTTAAGGCTTCCCTTTGATAATAATAATGTAGCAGGTCGAGTACCAACCTGAAGGAGGTCATTCTTGGAGAAGTGGGTGTCGCACTCGCTCTTACACGACTGCCAGGTAGGCGTGGCGGCGGCCCAGGTCACCATACCCGCCACCCACCACGCCCACACCAACCACGCCCCCATTCTGCTCCTCCTGCCTGTCGCCGCCGCCGCCGCTTCTGAAACATGAAAGGACTTAATGTGACGACGAGGCTCACGGAACAACGATGTTGACAAAATAACGAAGCTGTGGATAGCTGGAAACGACAGTTCTGTTGAGGAGACAAAGTTGACGAAAATACTAGCTGCGGAACACAATGAGGCTGCAGGAACAAGGCGCTGACGGAGATAGATGACATACGTCAAGGCTTGTGTGACGACTGGTTTCTTATGGTAGGTTTCGGATCAGTTAGGTTAGGTTGTGGAGGTAGAAAATAGTTCGCTTGTATCGTTGTACATGGTTAAAAAAAAAAAAAAGTTGAAGATACGCTGAATGAAGCTGTTCTGCGCCAAAAAGAGTGAAATGTTTTTTTTACGAGCCATGACACTGGCTCAACTGAAAATTTCAGTGTAATGAAACAGATAACTGGGTCAACAAGGACATATTGAAAACTGTTCAAAAGGTATCTGTGAACATGATTCTTACTGGATACAGCAGCAGCAGCAGCATATTGCCAACAGTAATGAAGGAAAGACACAGGTGCAGCGAAAAACTGTATTGTGGTAACTTGTAGCTGTTTATATAGTTTTATCACTCAATGGCCTGATACAGCTCCACATAGAACAACATACTGTCACAATAAAAGCTTGCTCTGTACCTGTATCTTTTCGTCATGATTTTTATCGAGAACTACAAAGCAGAAGGGATATATACAGGAGAGAGAGAGAGAGAGAGAGAGAGAGAGAGAGAGAGAGAGAGAGTAAAATGCAGCCTAAATGACTCATGTGTAGTCGATAGGCTTTAATTAAACATAAACTAAACTAGCTGGGCATGTAGGTTCTTTCTGACACCTTCGGTTGTCAACCATGTTCACTGGCAAACATTGATGTGCAGTGAAAACTTTTGAAGATGTTTTAGACCAATACCTGCATTATTAATTTTTATTTTTGTAATTAGTATTATTTATTATTATTATTATTATTATTAGTTTTATTATTATTATTATTATTATTATTATTATTATTATTATATTTATTAATATTATAATTGTTATTATGATTTATCGATGGTAAAACTTTAGAATAGAACTTTATTCTCGTAAGCACTGAAACACTATACCAGGAATTGTTTGTAACATAAAAAAAAAACTTTGCAGCAGCAACAAGGTTGACAATGAATGGAGTTATGACAGCAAAGGTGGGTAGAAGAGGAGAGCAAAGAATCACAGGTTACCAGTGCGTGAAGGGACAGTGTTACAGCACACAGTCTAGAAAACTACCTGTCTATCAGCTGAGGTGAGTCATCTTGAAACCTTTCCTCGACATTCTTCACCTCGCTAAAAGAAACGCTTGGTTAATAAACGAAGGAAATAGAGTGATCTACTAGGTGACACGGTCTCTGAACCCTTGGGAGGTGCGTCCTTGGGTCCTTTTCATGTAGGTGCGCTCCAGTTGCTGGCCAGACTGTACGTGCATGCTGATTAATAACAAATACAACAGAGCAATATATCGGAGAGAGGAAGGCGTCCAGTAATGAAGACTTCAGAGCATGCACGGTAAAGTGGAGACACTTTCAGTGGTGAAGACATCAGAGCACTACAGGGAGGTGGGAGTTTGTGACTCCCGTCGAACACAAAGCACTGTACAACTACGTACGTGGGAATACCAACTTTCCAACGGACAACCATATTGTAGAGACAGATCGGGTTGAAATAAAAGAAGTTTATGAAATGCGTGTGAAAAATGTCCGTCCAATTTGACCAGTACAGACTGCCAGAACAGAGTGGCCACGACCCCGCTTCTAGCAACTTCCACTGCCAGCGTTTCTACCTTTTCTTCTTCACTGGGATAAGCATTGCATCTTAGTAATCTATCCTGGCCAAGAATAGTAGACATATTAAAACCCTTTCAGGGTCCAAGGCCCAAATCTGGAGTCACGCATCAGTGTCCAAGAATTTAAAAAAAAAAAATTCGTTATTTTTTCTTATGAAATCGTAGAGAATCTTTTTGTGAAGGTAATAAAACAAAAAGTACGAAATTTGGTGGAAAATTGACGAAATTATGCTCTCGCGAATTTTGATGTGTCAGCGATATTTACGAATCGGCGATTTTGCCGACTTTGACTCCCATTTTAGGCCAATTACATTATTCCAATCAACCAAATTCTTAGCTATTTCACTAGTATTAGTTCTATTCTATCGATTGAGCACAAGAAATCGCCAAGTCAACTGTTTCAACTACAAAATAAAGTGATCGGAAATTGTTAATTTGGCCAATTTAAACACAAAGTTCAAAATATTCCAATTTCAAATAGGGTCCAAATAAACAATGTAGGCATTCCTGGCACTAAACTAACATTTCCTCTGTTCATTAGTTATGTTTTGAGGCTTTACAAATAAATTCCATTTTGAATTTTTTATTCACATAATGAATTTTTATTCACACCAAAAAAATAATGATTTACTGTTATGCAATACTGTAAATAATTGTATAAATAATCACACCATATTTGTGAATGTA